GGCACATAGGATTCTTATCTCTTTGATAAAGTCTCCTACATAATTGACGCAAACAAGAAATCTTTGAAGGCTATTTTTGTCTAAAATTTCATCAGAAAATTTGTCGGTGAAATTTAAACTTCTTTGAATTGGTGTAAGTGTTCTTAAATGAATAGCAGGACCAAGAAACCTTATCTTTGTTTGACATAAAACATCTTTCTTAGTTGAAACAGCTAAACCATTTTGTTTTACAACATGAATGAATGTATACAAATGTTTGAAATGTTGTTTTAAACTTTCTGAAAAGATTAAAATATCATCAATATAAACAATAATGAAGTTTTGAAATGGATTAAAAATATCATTCATAATTTTTTTGAAATTTAGAAAGGACATTTTTTAGACTAAAAGGCATAACATTTCATTCGTATTGACCAAAAGGAACGTTAAAAGCATTTTTATATCTATCTTCTTCTTTGATTTGAATTTGTCAGAATCTTGACTTCATATCAAATTTTGAGAAGATAACAGTTTTGAATAATCTGTTTAACAGATCTTTATTTTGAGGTAGATGATAACGAATCCATTGAAGAGCAGAATTAAGAGGTTTATAATTGATGACTAAACGAGGAACTCCTCGTTCAATTTCTGTAGAATTATTGACATAAAAAGCTGAACAGTTCCAAGGTGATTTGTTTGGCCTTATAAGTTTTTTATCAAGAAGATCTTGAATTTCTATTGTACAATGATCAAGGAGATCTTTGTTCATTTGAATACGACGAGATTTGTAGGAATATTTGATTCATGAAAATTGAAATTTAATTTCTTTTTTGAGAAATCTAATATGATTTTTTGTGAAATTAATATTATTGACAATTTTTGAAATAGAAGTTTCTTTCAACATATTAACATCTTTAAAAGAATGAGGATTTGTAAGTTTGAAGAAGATTTCTTGACCAAAAATAGTTAATCTTTTTGAATCAACTTTGAAAGGATAAATTTGAACAATAAAAGGAGTACCAACAATAACTTCTTGATCTAAATCTTTTACTAAATAGAAAATATTTTTGAAACAAATGTTTGAATTACAAACATGAGCTTTTGAAAGTTGATACTGAATATTGAGTTTTTTACCATTGACTCCGTAGAGTCGCTCAGTGGTCTTTTGAAAATATTTTGTATGGATAAGTTCTTCCCTAATACAATTTTGATCACACCAGAATCAATTAAGACTCTAGTATGAAGTTTAAATTCTTTATTGACAACAATAATCATGTTGCAATACCATTTTTGAAGTTGAATTCGGTTAATAACATTGACCTTTTCTTCTTCTTCGGTTTGAAAATGATGAGACTTTTTAGAATGAAAACTTTTGGAATTGGAATTTGAATCAGAATGATGAGATTTTGAATCAAAATTTGGATGAAAAGCATGAGAACTATCATCATCAGATGATGAGGATAAATTTTCAAAATCTTTGATTTTAAGATGAACAACTTCCATCTTAACATCTTGCATATGTTTTTCAAGATTGGAAATTTGAGATTTCATAATATTGATTTCTAATCTTAAATCATTAATAGAAACTTTTGAAGATTTTTCTTCTTGAAATCTTTTCATGAAATCTTGACTATTAAAAGATTCAGGAATAGAAGATGAAGGATGAAGAGTCTTGAACTCATTTTTCAATTTTCGATCTGGAATTTGATCAATAATTTCTTTAATAAGTTCTTCTTTTTTAGTAAGAACATTTATAGTTTTACAACCACCAACTTCTTTACTTTGACATGAAGATGAAGATGAATTTGAATTGTTTTCAAAATCAGAATCTTCTTGATTTTGAAAAACTTGTTCTAACTCAGAATTTGAAGAATCAGAATCAAAATTGATAAGATTGAGTAGTTCAAGCTTAGGATCTTGATCACATTGAAGATTACTAATCTTTCCCTTAAGAGGACATTTGTTTGAATAATGATCAGATTTGTTATATTTCCAACATGTAACATTTGAAGTCCTTATCTTTAAAAACTTTGTTTTTGAAATTTTTTTAAAAGGATAATTTTGAAAATTCTTTTTCTTGTCAAAATAATTTCGAGAAGATCTTTTCTTGAAATGGGAAGAAACTTCTCTTTTTTTGATCTTGAAGGAGGAATGATTTTCTCAAATTCATATTTTCACATAATGATCCAAGTTCTTTACGATAATCAGATCTTTCTGATTTCAATTTGACTTTGAGTTTGAGATCATTACAGAGAGCTAATCATTCTTGATTAACGAAACTGATTAGTTCTCCATAAGTAAGATTATCATAAGGAATAGAATTATCATTTTCTCTTTTGATTGCATTTCTAACATTTTTGGCAAAAAGCTTTGAAAGTCCAGAAAGAAACCTTTCTTTCCAGTAAGATTGTTCACAATCACTTCGAAGTAAGACATGAGTAAGAAACATGTTTTTATACCATCAAAAATCTTGTAAAGTGGGACAATTGAGGTTCATAAGAATTTGAGAATATCTTTCTTGAATATTAGTGGGATTCTGATAAAATGTTTGATAATACTAAAAACCAAACTTTGAAAGATATTATTTGTACCATCTGGTTTTGTAGAGTCGCAACTTGATTTCGATTTTGTTGAGTAAGATAATTAAACCACCAATTTTTGAGTTGACCAGAAAAATCAAGAATAATATTATTTGTAGATTCAAGATTACTTGTTCCATTGGTCACATATGCATTAACACATATACCCATTTTTTCAAGAAGTTGAATAATTTAATATTCAGAAAGTCCATCAAGATTCCATTCAATAATAGAATCTCCATCGTATCTTTCTTGAGATCTACCATTTTCTTTAAAAAGTAAATTAGGAGGTATTTGACGGGGATAATAGGCAAGTATTTTTGAAAATTGAGCGTTTTTCGTATGAATCTTATTTATTTGAAGATCGGATTCTTCAATAAATTGTGATTCGAGTTCATCAATAGTATTTATATTTTGTGAAGAGAATGAGGTTGATAATTTTGATAGTTGAGTAGTAAGTTCTTTTAGAACGCTTTCTTTTGAATGAAATATTTTGGGAGTGGCTTCATGAAAATGACAAAATGAAGAAACTAGAATTTCAACCTTCTTCTTTTTACCCGGATCAGAATCAGAATTTGACTTAGAATACTCGGACTCATAATTTTTTTCAATTCTGTTTAGCTGAGTGCATAAAGAATGAAGAGCAATATTGGAATAATTATTTTGAGAAATGATCCTTTTGATATCTTTTGAATTAACAAAAGAGTCATCAGCTCTTTCGATTTTTCTTGAAAGGAGAGGCAATAACTTCAATAGATCCATGAGAAATTTCAATTTCTTGTAAAGGAGGATGAGTAGAATGAATAGTATCACCTGAAGGGGTCTTCCAGGATTTCTTGGAAGAAAAAAATATTTTGAATGCTTTTTGTTTTAACCCTTTTAGGAAATTTTTGAAAACTTTGAAATAAGTCAATTCATAAAAACTAATATCTTCTGGAGAATTATCAAATTCTTCCTAGTGGGATTCAATTTGTTCTTTTGAACAAGATTTTTTGATAATATGTCTAAATTTTTTGAATTCATTTCTTCTGTCAATTTTAGAAGAAATATTGTTGCACTACCAACCAAGCTTCTCAGAAGGAGGAAGAGGTACCATATCTGACAGACTATGAGAAGTAGGAGGTTCTACTTCTTCTTCGTCTTTATCAGATTCGTCATTTTGATAGAGAGGTTTTGAAATTTTTGGATTAAAATTAATACATTTGATAGAGGATGTAGAAAATCTAGCAGATTGAAAAGAATTCATTTTAGATTTGTCTTCAGATCTGGATGAATTAGATATTTGAAAAGTACTTGAAGATGATGATGATTTATCAAAGATAACTCTGATGTTACCATTAGGAAAATGAATGATCTGTTCTGGATTTCTCCAAACAGGAGTAGTAATAAGATTTTGAGCATTTTCGAAGTCCCAAGCATGACCTCTTTCTTGAAGATTACAAGGAATTCTCTAGGAATCATAACATTTGATTGAAGTGAATTGACTTTTACCAATAGACTTTCATCTCTTGGAAAAGATCTAAGAGCACGAATATTGAGTTGAGTGTTCAAAATTTTGTAATATACTCTATATATTAAAGCAAAAGCTTTTGAACGATCATCAACATCGAAGTTTTTAGTTTGAATACGAAGATTTAGAGCATTAAGAATAGCTCCATCTTAAAGGCTAATTGAAAATTTTGAATAACAATTTGAAAATACTAAACCACTCTCGAGATTAGACTCAATGGGTCATTGCCCAGGTGACCCTAGGTGAAGCCATTCTCAAAGAAAATGTTTATTACGGTCCAGTTGGTAAATGAGTGAGATCAAATAAATTAGTTCAACTAACAAGGATGCTTCCAACTAAGATCGAGTAGGTTAGTTTACTATTTCCATTTCGTCACACATACAAAACAACTTAGCATCTGTTTGGCCACCCATTATTCCACATTATAATGAGATCGACATTAATTTTTTGGAGAATGTATTGTTAAAAAAAAAAAGAATTTTTTTTTGAATTTATGTGTAATAATATTTTACTGAATAATGTGTGATTGATAAAAAAAGAGAAAAAAAATGAATTATTATTTAATGGGTGACAAACGAGTGCTTAATGTAAAACCTTGCAAAATAGGAGTAGGGAACAGAACTCAAGTGCCACACTGAAAGGAGAATAAAGACGACAAGTCATCTTACACGAATTGCACTCTATAAATCAGTACACGCGTGGAGTATACAACCTCAAACACACAATCACATTTAAATCAAGATTTACTAGTTTTGTCTATGGACACATTAGAGTTATTATTTGAACTCATTCTTAGAGCTATGTTTTGAAAAATTGACTGATGTGTATACTTTCACGTGTGTGTTGAAGACTTGTGGCGGTTTAGGGGATTGGAAACGGGGTAGAGAAATCCATGGTCATCTGATATGGACATTATAAATGGTTTGATCACTATGAACGTGAAGTGTGGCGACGAGGGGAGTACGAGGATAGTTTTTGATGGTATCTGCGGGAGGGATTGGACTTCATGGAATGCAATGATATCGGGCTATTTTGAGAATTGGGAGTGCTCAGAAAGGTTGAGGTTGTTCTTTTCAATGAGGGAGTGTTGTTTTGAACAGGATTTGATGACCATGACTAGCGTGATTTCAGCATGTAAGGTTGTTGGTAATGGAAGGCTAGCAAGGGCAGTTCATGGGTACGTGGCGAAGATGGGGTATGGGGATGATGATTCCGTGGATAACTCACTAATTCAGATGTACACGAGGTTTGGGAGTTGCGGGGAAGCATAAAAAAATTTTGGCCGGATTGAATGTAAAGATGTTGTGTCCTGGATGGCTATGATTTCAGATTACGAGGACAATGAGTTCCCTGATCAGAAGGCTGTTGAAACTTATAAGATGATGGAACTAGGAGGTGGAGGTGTTATGCAAGATGAGATCACTATCGCTAGTGTTTTATCTGCATACGCTTCTTTGGGTCTTCTAGACAGGGGTTTCAAGCTTCATGAGCTTGCCAGGAGGACAGGTCAAATAGCCTATGTTATTGTTGCAAACACTCTTGGGCAAATGCATTGACAAGGCCTTGGAAGCCTTCCACCAGATTCCTGATAAAAATGTGATTTTTTGGACATCGATTACACTTGGGCTACGGATCAACAACCGAAGCTTTGAGGCCTTGATTTATTTTAGGCAAATGAAACTCAGTTTGAATCCCAATGATGTTACCTTGGTCTCTGCCCTTTCTGTGTGTGCGAGGATGGGAACATTGATGTGTGGAAAGGAGATCCATGCCCATGTATTAAGGAATGGGTTTGGATTCTATGGTTTTCTACCTAATGCACTGCTAGACATGCATGTGAGGTGTGGGAGGATTGAGCTGGCGTGGAATCAGTTTGGTATACAGAAACAGTGTGTTGCTTCTTGGAATATTCTACTTACTGGCTACTCCCAGCGAGGGCAAGGTGCACTTGTCATTGATCTATTTGATAGAGTGGTGAGTTCAGAGGTTAAGCCAGACGAGGTTAACAAACCTCGAAGCCACCAAGGGCATATTTCTAGCAACTTGACACTACAATGAACAATTTTAACTTCATTTTCTTTTTTAATATTGACCAACGTACTGCCCAACTTGCATAACATGCTATTTTTGTCCCATCTAAATGTTAGGAGAATTGTTGTAATATCCTGGGGTGTGATAACAACATTGAATTAATCTATTTTAATTAATTACCCGATCCATTCCTTTTCAAGATCTGTTATTGTTTTTTCAAGGTCATATTGCATCCAACTGTAATAATTCAAGTTGCTTTATGTTGGAATGAAATCCATGACCTTCCTATATAGTCGTCGATTGAATCCATCAACTTTTGTTAGTTTCAAAATAACTTCTTGTTTCTTTAAACTGATTATGAGTAAAAATGACTGGCATTTGATGCAGGTTTGATTTCCCTTTTTGTACAGTAAATCGATCGTGTGGCAGTGATCTGTGCTCGTACTTTTCATCTCTTTATTTTATTTTTCTATTTGTATATACTGCGCGATTGGACTCTTTAATTTAGCCAACATATCTCTAGAAATCTAAATAAATTTCAATGCAGTATTGCCCTTCATCATTCATGTAATTGGTTTTATGTAATTTGCCTAGGTATCCATGAGTATGGCGTGGTTGCTCCAGCGCCGTAGCACCTGGCGCTCGAACATTGGCCCGAGGCATTTTGCTGTATTTATGTACCACTGCTATCTTTGCTTCATACATGAGACTAATAATCAACAAGCTGTTATTACATATCCCACAACCAATAATTAACATGAATATGAAAAATCACATCTAAATTCACATAAATATTTAGTCAGAACGGGTTCAACACTCTCAACAAATAATACCATATACTATATGAAATACACACCCCTAAATCTTCACTGCTCTCTTTATTGTCTTGATTGATGATTTAATGAAGCTGTTACGGGCTACACGAACATCATCGATATCATTGTCATCGAGTACCGAAGGCTTTTTTCTCATGCAATCCACTTTCTTTTTCATGCTCCCCAATATCAGAGATGGAGAAGATGGGATTCGCCGAAATGCCCTGGCACTCTCTGACCTCAAAAGTTCCCTTCCCTTTCGGCTTTTTCCCATTCTCGCATTCTCTTCACAGCTACCAGGTTGTCCGACTCCTGTACCAGTCGAACCCGATTCATTCGTGTAGCTTCTTCTCTGTGGTTCGACTCTGTAAGGAGGGTTCTTTAAGGGAGTGTTTGTATTGGTCACATTAGCAATTGCATTCATTTTCCCATCCTCTTTTTCGTTGCTTGAGGGCGACTTCATAGCTTCCATCCTCCTTATCTTGTCCAACTGTTCTGTACTCCCTTTAGTTTGTGATTCCTTGGCTCTTGATTCTATGATCTCCCTCTCCGGAGACGAGAGATCCAGCCTCCGGATTAATTCTTCAGTTTCATTCTCATCGGCAATTTTAGGATTTAAGAGATCATCTTCTTGCTCCAACTGTTCCATAGTCTCCTTCTCTGCAGACATGAGATCCAGCTTCCGAATTAATTCATCAGTTTCATTCTCGTTGACATTTTTAGGCTTTGAGACATCATCTTCTAGCGTATTCTCTAACAGCAACTGAAGCCACTTCTCTATATTTCCTTTCCCTTCTTGTTTTCTGCTCTCTTCATCCTTCTCTTCATCCGGTTCATGATGAATTGGGAATTGAATGTTGCAAACGGTCCCCCCTTGCCGTCTATCCAACTTTTCAAGCCTTTCTTCAATTGGAGTACCATCTTCTTCCACAACCATGGTTTTGTTACCTTTCTCATGCTTCTTTTTGCTAATTTTGTCACCGTTTTCTCTGCATCCCTTGTCGAGTTCTTCTTCTTCTTCTTCTCGTTCTTTAATCATTAGTAAACTTGCATCCGAAGCTTTTTGTTCTTCCTCCAAGAATTTCCACAGTTCCTTGTGCAAAGGGGCCAAGGAATCATTCGTCTCAATCTGTAGTTGCCTTTTTGCCTTGTTATTTGGCGAATACAAAACAAGCCTATCGTCTTTCTCTTCTTCAAGGGTATCATCCATTCTTGATCTCTTCCTTGCCTGTTCCCATTCGGGTCTTATCTGCTTCTCTAGCTCGTCTCTTTGTTTATATTTCCTTTGTAGTTCTCTTTCAGCAGAGTCGCAAATTGCTTTCTGAGCTTCAAGTCTAGCTAAAAGGGCACTAGCTGCTGCTTGATTCAGCCTCACTTGTTCTTTATAGACAACACTCCTGCAAGAGAAAAACAATTCAAAATTCAGTATGATAACAATTTCATTCCAATACTCCTAGAAGAAGAAAAACATTCAAATAATGGACGTTAGAAATACTATTGGTCACTAAATTATAAAGGAAAAGTGTAGCGCCTTAGCGGTCAGTAGTGTATTTTATTTATATTCTATTTCAAGATACTAAACTTGTTTGTTAAGAATTGATCACTCCATTAGTGACCAACAAGAAATCTAGCTGAAAGTGCCTTAGCAGTCAGTAGTGTATTTAACCTTCAAAAGTATCGTTTTAGGTTGTTAATGAGCTTACTGGTGCATGGCATCTCGAATCATCTTCTCTAACATTGCTCTGTAGGAAGATTGTGTCTCAGCTAGCCTTCGACACTTTTCAGCCCGTCTTCTTCTCTTTATCAGTGCTAATTCCAGGTCTTGGATTGTAACTTTCTCCTCCTCAGACTTCTGCTGCAATCCATTGACTTCATTATCTAATTTCCTTATTTCTGCTTGCATCTTTACTGTTTCCTCTCTCTGTTTCAACGAATCTCTGGCCATAACAATGGCCTGATACGGGTTGCTCACCATATTCGGATCTTCATTTTCTTTCAGAAGAGGATTCAATTTCCTTGCAGCTGCCATAATCAAGTGAAGATGTGAAGCAATTATAGCATGTTTGATAGGGAGATTGGATACGAGAGACTATGCAAAGAAAGCAAAAGAAGATAAAATTGTAATCCAGTTATATATTGTGTACCAAACGCACAGGGCTTGTGGAATATTTTGCTATATTCTCAAACTGATTAGGTGAGTTTTTTGTTCACTCTACTAACCTATGATCGGGGTACTTGATCGTGGTCTTTTGGTCAGATCAGTTGATTTCCATGGAGCATCGTAAGACCCCCTTCGAGATAGTACAACAGCAGCAGGAGCCAAACCTAGTTTTTCTTTGGATTCCATGAAATGTTGAGGGAAACTGTGTGAATCAACTGTTTGTGAAGCATTCAGTTCTTCACTTTCACCTTCAGAAAATAACCATGAAAATGCCCTGTGCCTATACATACATAAAATACATATACACGAATCACCATCATCATCATCATCAATAGTACTTCATAATTGCATCTAAAGTTGAAAACTACCAACCTGAAATCTGAATTTGATGAAGCAAAGATGGACATGAACTGATTGATTGAAATGCCCAATTGAAAATCCCACCAGGGAATAAGATATTCTAGTTTATTATGTTTTCTCTTGCACACTTGCCATTGCAATATTCTTAGATTGCTTGGAACAGTCAAACCCCCTCCTGCAAGTTTTTCAGGTGAAGCCCACAAGTTAAACCTCTTTCATATACGTTGTTGGCATGAACGATAATGAGGATTGGACAATATTTGGGAAAAAAAAAAGTTAAATTATCCACTACAGTGTCCAGTATTTTGTACGAACAAGTCACAATTGGATAGTACAGGATGATATCAAGAAATAAAATACTTCCCTGTTTGGTGCACATTTTGAGTCCAAGAATGCACTTTTTTGTTTGATGTGATGAGGAATATGTGGTTGAAAATGAGTAGAAAAATGAGAATAAAAAAAATAATGTGGCTCAAAATGGGGCTTATATTCATTATATGTTCTAATACTGCATGCTAAAAAATATTTATAAGCATAGACAACTAAGTAGTAATTACTTGAGCAAGGGAACCAATGGTCAATATCCCATGCAAGAGGTGACGCTGAATCTGCATGATAGAATAGAACATTTCCATATGGATCTACTCGAAATATTTCTGGATCAAAACCAGCATTCCTGGAATTTCAAATCATAAGAAATTGTTAAAAAAAATTTAATTTTTCTATGCTTACAGATTATTCATCTCAAAGAATAATGTAGCAAAATGAAATCTGATTACCCAAGATGATTCAGCTTTTTCCACAGAAGACTGAGAAAAATCTTGGGCTTTGTTGTGGGTTTTGCTTTGGGATCAATGATTGGGAACATCTCATCTAATTCCATCGCTCTTGAATCCTGTCACCACAAAGGGTCAGTAACAGGGGAGGAGATAAAAGTTTTGAAACCAAAAAAAAAGTAACAGAAGAATTTAAGAAATTTAATAATACGCACTACTTAACATTGTTCATTACTAAATTTGGTTCATTATTATATGTTCTTTCTTTTAATTAAAAATGGTTATTTGGTTTGACAGTAAATGCTACTCTACCATCAAAATAAGTAACTTATTAAACTTTCAGCATTAAAAATCTTGTTTAGCTAGAAAATTACTTATTTCTTAATACAATACAATTCTAAAAGAAAAAGAGACTTCTCTTTAAAACCTGAGATTTAAGATTACACTCAGATGTATCCTTAAATTCTAATGTTTAAAAACCAAGCAAAGCCTAGAATACTTCATTTTTTTATTTTTTATTTTTGTTGAATTTAATGTAAATTATGTCTTAAAATCAGAATACGAATTGTTACCTCCAAAACAACAAATAAGTCTAAATTTCATAGATTGTTACCTCTTGCTGTGAGAGAGAATAGGGAGTGAAAGTAAAAGGAGGGCCATTGTTAAAGGGACTGAAACTCCGGTCTCGACTGAGCTTGGCATAGGCTTCTGGGTACCCGAGTGCTTGGTCGATCGACATTTCTTCGTCCGTGAACATGAGGTCAGTCGCCATTCAGAGAAATGTATCAGCTACTTCTTTGAAGAAATGTAGATTATAGAGGCAGATGTAGCTGGAGCTGATTGAGGTATTTTTGAATAGGGAATTAGATGCTTAACGGTCATTTCCATTTTTAAAAGATTTTGTGATTTTTTTTTCAAATGGTAGATAGGTGTAACGGCTGGATAAGCTGACCCAGCTCACATGGGCCACCACCCTATTCATTAAAGCGTTATATGAAAAGACCTATTTGCCCTTGGGAAGAAACCTGGGACTAATCTCTAATTAAAATGGCCATTTTTTGCTTATAAAATCCATTAAATTATCCGTTCGACCCACTCTAATCCTATCATAATATAGTTTTTTCTTGACATGGTCCGTCTGTGTCAAATTGACCTGGTCGATCCTTACAGTAATTGAATCTAGATATCTAGTTGATGAAAAATCTATGTTTACATTTACAAGTTCTATTCTTCTTCTTTTCTGAGTCATTTTTCTTCATTTTCCAGACGCACAAATCCATAAATAAACTATAAAAACTCATTTCTTACCTTCACATTTTTCAAAATCTCAACTATCACTATTGTATGTGCTTACGTATCTATCAATTATCAACCCTAAGTGTACATGATATTGGAGGGAAAAGACCGATATTTGTTAAAAAAAAAAAACTTTTAAATTAAGTTATTTATCATTTTCTTTTCCTTCTTTCAAAAATCTCTAATGTCAAAAAACCTGCTCTGATAAAGGGTAGTTTAGTTATTTTAGAATTATAGACGAAATGGACCTCCCATCCAACAAGAATAATGCTGTGTCTGAAATCAATTTTAGGTAAAAAGAGTGAAATGACATATTAAAGAAGGCAAGTAAATAATGATTCTAGCATCATTGTAGTTTGAAAATGGAATAAATATTTGACCAATATTTGTTGGTGAAATGAAGTCCCCTTTAGTTTTTGGCCCTTGGTGTGTGAAAATATTCTGACTAATGGCCCCTCATGTTAGACTCTAGCACTCAGATTGTATGGTTAGCGTTTACAAATCTATACAGAATCAGTAGCTTCGTCCTCCGCCTAAGCCTCCATCCCTAGTGGCGGAGTCAAAGGGACAGGGTGACAGTCGTCCCGCATAACATTTTGAATTCTTTTTGAAAAGTACAAAATTCAACCTATAACGCAGGTAGATTTTGCCCCCTAAACACGAAAATCCGCTGCTCGTCCCAAAAACTATTTGTCAACATTCTAGAGCTTTATGGAAAGTGACAGTCTCGACCCAAAGCCTTTTTATTCTAGTATCTCATCCAAAAACTGAATGTGTGAACGGCGAACTTGACCAAACATGCCAAGTGTAGTGCATTGATCGGAAAGCTAAGTTATTACAAAATGAATTGACAACCATTGCAAAATGCAAACTATTGTCTGTCGAACATTTGTAAATCTGGAGTAATAGCTAGAAATATTGAAATCCGAAGAAGTTAAGTCTGAGACAATAGTTAAGGCATGTTCTGCATAGGCCCCCTAGACAACTAGGTACAAAGTAAATTTGTTTTTGTTCTTTTAAGGAGAAGTAATTCGAAAAGGAGGAAAAAAGCAGCAGTTTGCATAACCGTATCTTACCATTTAGCACTCTGCAAAACCTCAATCACCTTTCTAGTGAACCGGTCCTGTTCTGCTATCTGACCTGGAGTGACCTGATCGGACAGCAGGTGCTCACTGTGAAATCGAACTAGCTCAATCCGTGTGTGTTCCAGATGAAACAAGCTCTGAACCAGCAGCCACATTCTCTGTTGCTGCCACACCTAAACTATCACTGCAACAATTGATGTCTGACTGCACATGACTTGATGCTTCCTCCACAGCAGCATTTTGAGTACCAGTTTCCGTTGCCAAACCTTGAAGATTGCTGGTCTGTGGGTCCTGAGTTTCCATGGACAAAGGTGGAGGCATCGCTGTTAAAGCTAATGGCTCTGTCACTGATGCTTGACCTTGAGTCCAACTGGAATGCTCTGGCTGTGAAAAATTACCCTCGGGTCCCGGAAAACCTTGCGGGTGAATTTGAGGTGCAAGGGAAGTTGAAGCATTTGGGTTCTGCTGGCAAAGAACCTGAAGCTGTGGGTAAAGTGCTTGAAGTGCTGGGAATAGTGCTTGAAGGGCTGCTTGTCCAATAACATCTTGGTGGCCTTGAAATCGCTTAGCATTTGACTGGTGCTTCTTTCCCACCAAATGACCTTGGAAGGTAATTACAGATTCACACTTCACGTTACACAATTCACATATCAAGGGAACAAATCCTTTGGGCATAGGAGGCTCAATCGGTCTTCTAGATCCATCATTAAACCTCATCCATTTACCCCCTCTACCACCACCCCTCGTATTACGCTTGAAACCACGCCCTCGACCTTCATAATGGTTCATTCTCGGATATTGTGCCAATTCTTCACTAGGTTCTATCTCTTCAACATTTTGATTCTCAGTTAAGACTCTGTTTTCTTCTCTGACAGGTTGAGAGGGTAGATTCTCTTGTGGAGGTTGTTTAGTCCCATCTCCCTCACTTTCAACAGGCTGTGAAAAACCTTCTGGTTTCACTTCAAAGGTCAATGGTTGCTCATTCTGTCCTCCAGTCAGGTCTTTGTTTAGTCTTTGTAACTCTTCATAAACTTTCAAGTTCTTTTTATGCTTTTTCCCATTCCTGTGCTGCTCAAGAATTTCAAGGGTGTTGCAGTCAACTCTACAAAGTTCACACCATGCGATTTGTGGAGGTGGCCAAACTGGTGCTGAATGACCACCAGCGACAGGTATGGACACTTGAGTTGAAACTGATGTATGCTTACCACGGCCTCTGCCTCGTCCTCGAACATGAAATGGACGGCCCGTAACTTTTGGTTTAGGACCAAATTGGCCTTGAGCTCCCCGAGAGGGTCCACCATCCAATATGCCAGGACCCCCATATGAAGCTTGCATGACCTGCAAAATTTTGTGAATGCATTTTCAAGAATATAGCTGAATTTACCTTACTACTTTTACGGCCTTTGCATGGTGTTTCATATATATATATATACATATATACATTTTTTTTTTTGTTTGGGTGGGGGGGGGGGGGGGGGTTTTTTT